CCGGTGACCAACAATTGGTTCATGCGCCATTTGTTCCCGCAGGATACTGGAGCCCATGTGCACCATTGATTTGGAATCCGGTTAGAGCGCCGAATATTCGCTTTTCATTCTCTCATTTTCGTAAACAACAACACCCCGCCACGAGAAGGCAGTGAGTAGGACTTCCCTGACAGAGGCTATATACGCGTGACCATGTGCGAGTATTTGGATAGGGAGAGCGGACTCTTTCCACTCTCGGCCATACCAGGGCATTTGGGGGTAATGTAATGTGTGTCAGTTCCTTAATAAACTAAGAATTAACTATTTTAACCCACTGAATTAATAATTTTTAACCAACAGATTTAATCATGTGTAATCACTAATTTCTAAAAACAAACGGAAATTATTTACTACAGGATACGTGCCTAAGTGTGTGTGTGTATAGGTGCATATGTGTACAGATAAACACATAGGAGGGAGTTAATACATTTAGAAATGAAGGATATGTAATTAGACATTGTGTAAAACTTCAAAACTCCTTATACAAAAAAAAAACCCAGCCTAGTGATATGAATGCTGATAGGAACAGGCGTCAAAAATAGTTTATAGCGTCAGACAAGTTGATTAAATTTAGTTAATTAATGAAACATAACATAATGAAAGGTGGTGGAAATATGCGGATTGTTAAAATGTATACATATATGTTTGTATGTATGATTTACTGTTTACTTATTATTGGATTACTTACTTAGGTCTGTTACCCCCAATGGAGTATAGGTCACCGATCAGCATTCTCCAACCCACTCTGTCATAGCCTTTCCTTTCCAGTCCTATTCAATTATTGTTTGTTCTTCTCATATCTATCTCCATTTCTCGGAGTAATGTGTCCTTTGGTCTACCTCTTCAGGATTCCAAGTGGAGGTTTGCTTTGTGACACAGTTGGGTGCTTTCCTCAATGTGTGTCCTATTCACTTCCAGCGCTTCCTCTTGATTTCTTCCTCTGCTACAATCTGATTTGTTCTCTCCCACAGTAGGTTGTTGCTGATAGTGTCTGGTCAACGGATCCGAAGTATTTTGCGTAGACAATTGTTAATAAACACTTGTATCTTTTGGATGATAGCTTTGGTAGTTCTCTAACTTCCCGCAACATACAGTAGAACTGTCTTGACATTTGTATTGAAGATGCTGACCTTGGTGTTGATTGAGTTGTGCTGTTTTGAGTTTCAGATGTTCTTCAGCTGTAAATATGCTGCTCTTACTTTGCCGATTCGCGCCATCACATCTAAATCAGGTTCATTGTGTTCATCAATGATGTTGCCTAGATATGTAAAGGTGATGGCTTTCGTAGTTCTCCACGTTTCCACCCCATACAGTAGAACTGTCTAGACTTATGGATTACTGACTGAGTAACTGTAAGATTATAGTGTACAGCACTATATGGGAAAGTGTTTAGTCGATTAATCAAGCTGTGGACTATGATTAAGATTTGTGCTACATGCCAAGTAGCTGATTAACAGGATGTAGTAAGCAGTTTTTTCTATTCTCCTAATTTCTGACTAATCTGATGCATGATTTATGAACACTTGAACCAGTATATACTTCCATTACATTCGACATTGTTTATAATTAATAATTAAGTTAATATATTGGTGACGATTTCCAAAATGAAATTTTGTCGAATTCAAGCACGGAAACGACGTCTGAAGTAGAGACAGTTCGATACCGCTATACAATACTGCGAAATCAGAATAGCCTGGAAGCTTTGTATCTGAAAATGGAACCAAATCTGTCGATAGCACATCAAATAAGAAATCATCCTTTACACACAAATTATTACCATATGTGGTATGGAACGGAATAAACAGTACATAATTTTCATAGTTTGAGACGCAAACTGAGTTTACCCAGAACACCATTTGAAACATGGGAGCATTGAACAACTACCCACCTTTAGCAATAGATGAGAATTGCACAATATCATGAGTTGATTAAAGTTAGACATTACCGTTGGATCGAAGCTCAGTGATCTAGGGAGTTAAACGTCTGCATGCGAGACCGATGGCCCTGAGTACATTTTGCGGACCCCAGGATCGTGGATATGGACATCCCAGGAGTCCCATAATAGGATGACACAGCTGTTCAATGATGGTTTAGATAAGATTACTTCGTGTTTTAAACTACAGAAAATTCTGTAATAGTCAATTATTGTGAAAGTAAAGATTGCATGATAAATATTCCATATCACAAATTGAATTTATAAATACCCACATGAAATTTGAAATGAAACTTAGGTTATTAAATTTGTGTATGGGCTGGGAGCCCAAAATGCCCTGGTACGATCGAGAGTCGGCCCTCCCACTCCAAACGCTCTCACATGGCCACATGCATACAACCACTGACACAAAAGTCCTACTCACTGCCTTCTCGCGGCATAAATGTTGATTACGAAATAGAGAGGAAAAAAGGTGAATGTCCGGAGGTTTAACCGGGTTGGTGGATATGGAGGATCCATCTTGGAGAGTTAGAAAACCCTCATTCCAAACCAAAGGTGCACATAGGCTACAGTATCCTGATGGGACAAATGGTGTATGAACCTATTGTTGGTGACCGACTACCATGAGACTGCACCTCCTGACGTCGCTCCACTGCCTTGTGTATCAGAACTTTAGGTCGAAGGCTCCGGGTGGGGCCCTCTAAGAAAACCACTTGCTTCGGTCTGGGCAGTCATGCAGCATCAGAGACATCACAAAAACCAAAGTTATTTGATACTTGCCTAATCGTTATTGTGTGGCGCATATTCATTTGGTACCTTCTCGTACTAATATTTGTGTTCAAATAAAACAAACAAATGGGCTGGGATACTGTCCGGAGGCCCAGACCGAAGCAGGTGGTCTTTTTAGGTCAATCTTCGAGCCTTTGAACTGGAGGTCTAATCCACCGGTGACCAACATTGGGTTCATACGTCATTTATTCCCTCAGGATGCTGAAGCCTATGTGCACCATTGGTTTGAAATCAGACATTTTCAACTTCCCCACGTGGTCCCGCCGTAACCATACGCGCAGTTCAACTCCGGACATTCGCCATCCACTCTCTAAACTTCGTGAACACTATCACCATGAGGTAGTGTGTAGGACGTCCCTAACAGTGGTTATGTGAGAGCGTTTCGAAAAGTGGAACGAACTCTCGCTACTGTCGGCTATTTGTAGACTATTAAATGGCTGAATTCTTGTATTTCTATATCCTTTTTATTTTAAACTTCCATTTATTTAGTGGATGGATAGTGTGTGATTTACATCAGAGATTTGCCATTCTAGAAATAGCGTTCGGCTATACTGTGTATGTACTTACCAAACAGTCGCGAATGATTACTTACACCTGTTACTCCTCGTGGAGGAGCATAGGCCGCCCACTAGTACTCTCCATCTAACACTGTCCTGGACAATCCTTGCTAGCTGTCATTCATCCTTATCATATAGGATTCTATTTCCCGATCTAATTTGTTCTTTGGCCTTCCTCTTTTTCACTTCCCTTCAAAATTCCAAGTTGGGGATTGCCTCGTGATACAGTTTCATGATTTCCGTAATGTATGTCCCATCCATTTCTATAGTCTTTCCCTAATTTCCACTTCACCTGGAAGCTGGTTTGTTCTCTCCCACAGAAGACTGTTGCTGATGGCATCCGAACAATCGATGTTGAGTATCTTGAGTAGACAACCATTTATAAATACTTGTACATTCTTGATAGTGCTTGTTGTAGTTCTCCAAGTTTCAGCTCCGTACAGTAGAACTGCCTTGACGTTCGTATTGAAGATTCTCACTTTGATATTGATTGAGAGACAGTTGTTTTGAGTTCCATATGTTCTTCAATTGTAGTAATGCAGCCGTTGCTTTACCAATCCTCGCCTTTACGTCTGTATCTGATCCTCCTTGTTCATCGATGATGTTTCCCAGGTTTGTGAAGGATTCCACATCTTCTAGAGTTTCGCCATCAAATGTGATTGGGTTGATGTTCTCTGTGTTATATTTGAGAAGCATAGAATCGCAAACACTTCAATACCCAATTCAATCTCCAATAATTATTGTATATACTACACAAAAACTGACAAAAATGTATCTTTCATCTTGTGTAAGATCATCATAATTGATATTCTCTTTAATGTATCATGTTTAAAAGATAGAAATCAGTGTATACACACATAACCAAATGAACATCTATATTTCTTATAACTTTCAATAATACAATATAAATAATGTTGTACCATTTGTAAAATAGACAAACATAGATACATTGAGAAACAAAACAAAGAAGAACTAGAATCATAATTGAAGAAAAGTTTGTGTATATAAATAGTGAAAAATACTAAATATACAGATCTATTCAGTAAGACTATAATTTATGAATATACCATTGAATGATGTTACATTGATCTTGATAGTATCCACTTAATAACCAGGATCAAAATCAACCTTATAAACCAATATGAAGAATTCGAATGATGATTTACAATGGATTGTTAACATTAGAAATTAGATCTCTTTTTTTTCAGGAGGGGCGGTTACATCGCGAACTATCATGTCAAAACTTTATTTAACCAAATTAGATGTGTGAGTGACGTTTGTGTCAAAAAAAATCTAAAATCTGTTATCTTTTTTTTTGTTAAACCCTGATTAGTTCATCCATAAATGATAGTTTCACCGGTTGAGAAAAAAGAAAAGACTAAAATGGTGGAATAGTTAACAACTGAAGAGGTAACCACTTTATTCTTCTGCTTTTGAATCAATCCATGAAAGACAATTGGTTGTTGTTGCTGTTAAAAATTACTAATATGATTACCCTCTAGTTATAAAAACACAACAATCATAGTAATAGTCGAGTATTAAGCAAAGAATAAAGTAAACAGAGAAACAAACAATAACAACAATAGACAGTGCAGTCTTTTCTTCTCTTTTTTTCTTTGTAAAAAAAATAAATAAACATTTTTCACTATAAAAAAAGAGAAATACAATTTTCTATTTTTTGCTGTTGTTGTTCTCTTTTTCTGAGAGAGAGAGAGGGGTGCATAATTTGGTAGAAACCAGGGGGAAGGAATAAATTGGAGAAATATCCAAGAGAGAGAGAGAGAGATAGGGAGGGGAGAGAGAAAGAGGAAAGGCAAGGGAAAAGAAGAGATAAATTTAAATGCGTACAGCTAATAAATTCTTATGATACAATAATACATATGCATCTGTATGTAAAACATCATTTAAATTAACTGATACAACTTTTTGATCATCACATAAACACCAAGCACCAGGACCAACACGTATATAAGCTGTATAATGACCAGAATTAGTTTGACCACTATGATTTAATACAGCATATAGAGAATATCTAAAATTGAAAAAAAATAAAATAGAATTATAAAATATTTATTTGAATGTTTTAATATAAATGTCCTGGTACAGTCGATGGTGGAGAGAGTTCGCTCTCTCTTTAGAAATGCTCTCACATAGCCAAGAGTATAGTCATCAACTTTTCGAAGTGGGGGTGAAGTTTACGAAATTGGGGAGAAAAGCGAATGTTTGTGGCTTTCATAGGGAAGGTGGATAAGGAAGATCTACCAAAGGGAATTGGATAACCCTGATTTCAAACCAATGGTGCACACGGACTCCAGGATACTGAGGGAACAAATGAAGTACGAACCAATCGTTGGTCACTGACTACTGTGGAACTGAATCTCTTAAAGTTACTCCACTGCCTTATTCAGTAGATCTTTACATCAAAGGCTCGAGGAGTGATCCTCTAAGAAAATCACTTGTTTCGGTTCGGGCACCCGGGCAGTATCCTAGCCCTCACACGAATCGAATGATTTATGTGGCGCATATCTATTTGGTGCCTTCTTGTACCTATATCTGTGTTTAAATAAATTTTAAATTATAAATAATTCATAATTAATTGATCACTAAGTAGTAACCAATGTCATATATGTCACGTCCTTTGTTATGAGTATATCTCAGTCCTACAATAGGTCAGTCGAGGCTCGAATAACTCAGCAGATAACATTTCTGATTATGACGCTGAAAGACACAGAATCAAATCTGTTAGAGAAAATCTATTGTCTTTTGATCACAGCTATACCTTGCTGATCAGTGTTAAATAGCATGAAACCTGACTTCATGGTACTCTGTTGACTACCTCCACACACTGTCTTACAGACTGTAATTTATGGACGTTAGTATTCTAGCCCACACACAAATCGAGTGACGAAGTGTGGAAAATATACATTTGGTGCCTCCTTGTACCAACGTTTTATGTGTCTAAATAAATTAATAAGTTGGTTATAGTAATCACAGGGAAACATGTATGAGTATCAGAAGGGTTTTTGTAGATATCATAGTAATTTCAATGGTTGAGATCATGAGTCAATTGAACCTAGACCACCGTGGAAAATGTGGAAGCGAAACGGGATCGTAGATGCGCACTGTCACTGACGAGTCCCATGGTGGAACGAAACGACCGTCCAGTGCTTCCAGGTTTTCCATGATGGTCTAGCTTCAATTGACTCATGATCTCAACCATTGAAATGACTATAATATCCACAAAAAACGTTCTGATATGAATCAACATATGTTCACTAGTAACTGGCTTCAAGAGGTATTTCCTGGAGTTCTAGTGAGAAACAGTGACTAGTGAAGTTCAACCGGGTCTGTTGTGAGACAGTAACTCACTGAATACAATTGTAGACATTGACACCAATGGATGCCGGCCGGCTCATTGGTCTAGGGGTTAAGCGCCTGCGCGTGAGACTGATAGGTCCTGAGTATCTAAAAATTATTTCTCATCAACATTTCAGACTGGGAAGTCAGTATATGAAGAAAGAAGAGTATAGCCCGAAACACGTGTGATAATATATTCATTTACTAATACTAAGATTTAGATATAATGGTAATTTAATTGAAGTCATTAACTCTTGGTGTATGTTTTTTGGTTAGGCTCGATGAAACAGTTGTCATTTGTCAAAGCAGACTTTAGACGACATCAGTCTTAATGATGTAAATTCATTTACGTAGTCTGTTCAATAGATAAACAATGTAAACTTTTCAGTTTGTTAATTGTAAGCAAACGATCAACCGGAACGTACTCAAACCTTACACTAGTTTAATTTAATTTAACCTTAGTGGACTGTCTCTATGCAGATACTAATCTATGAAAGTTGAAATCGATCTATAAGTACATAGTCTCTTCATGTGTTTAGATGTTTGGAAATAGTTGTCCTCAAGTTTCTAACTTATAGTCAATTATAATCAATGTAAAGTCTCGTATAAATTTGCGTGATCAAAGTTACCATACAACATTAAAACGACAAGATGAAACTAACAGAACGAAAAGCAAATGATCTGAAATCATTGTAATAGTAAATCATAATGATAAAGACAAAACATTGAAAATCTGGTTCGCGAAGATAGGAAAGAATATTGGAACTGAAGGTAAACAGAGAATGTATCTAGGCCACTGTGACCAATTTCGAGGCATATCATTAAAAGTATTCAATCACTGATCAACGTTATCGAGTGATATTGCAACCAGATAGTATTTATCTACCGTATCTTACCTTCAAATTATAATTATCTCAACGAACATTTCACGACGAGGCAGGTCGTAGGTGTTGGGCATACTTAATACATATCCGAACCACCTGAGAAATTTGTCTAATATAACTATACTACTAACAAATAACTAAGTCATTCCCTTGTTGATCACTAAAATTCATAATAACAAACTTACTTATCATACCAAGCTGATTGGTCGCCGACAATTTGATGTAAATACGGAGCCATATCCAATTCAACAGGGAATGTGATCGATGTATTGATTTTCGTATCATGATGACAACGCTTGTTGATATGATAAAATAACAGTTGAAAAGAGTAGAAAATCAAGAACATACATGGTATGAAGTTGAGAAAACAATCCAAATAATTAACAACAAGTTAGAATAGTTAGGGGTAGTCAAACCAAGATGTGGCATGAATCTTCGACGTCACTAACTTTTGGTCTGAGCTATGTTGGTAGATGCAGACTACTTGGTTGGAGTCCGCGTAACTATCGTAACCAATGGTTGGAGACTCGGGGTGACATGGTTCAGAATCGACCACAACGGTGTAGGTGTATGAACTCTTTGTCTTCTCTTAATCTGTGAGATTAAAATCACTTTATACCCTTCTTTCTACAAATTAACTCTTTCTTTCTATATTATATTCTTATATGCAATCTTTCTTTTATATATTACTAGCATTGAAGTAACTACTTTTATGAACTTGGTGTTCACCTTGTTGTGTTAATGAGGTATGGCAACTTAGATTGATGCATGTATGTGACCGGTCCTGCGTTATAGATGACTAACGAACTGAGAATGGTTAAAGTACTATTTGATGATTGAGATTATAACCGCAAACGTTTAATGAATGGCGTTGATACTTTGATTTTCAGGGGTCACAAGAGACTGTGTTTCTACGTGGCATCAAGCTTAATGTGTCATATCTGCAGCCTGACTATTTATTACTCTGTGTTTTCCGCTTCTTCCATATTATTACAAAATACCTGGTGATCTATTCCGGTGTAATGTTGATTAGAGATTAAGTTTCCAGCTTGAAATTATTATGTTTTTAATGTGTTATGTCTGGTTGTGCTAAAATGCACATATATAACTACAAACAAATGCGGATAAGTCCAGTTCACTCGACTTTCAACTAATAAGAATACGGGTTTGAATCCCATTTCATTTACGACCGTTTGAATATTTATATAATAGTATCACTACTCATCATACAATCAATATTACGCTCAGTAAAGCTGAATTCATAAAACCGTGGTTTTGAGTTAGCAGCGTCGCATTGATAACAGTCAGGACGAAACCCGGAATATCAGTATCATGCTCGTCAACACGATGCACATGAAATCTCGAGGAAACTAATGTTCTCTAGTAGATCCAAATCTGGGTCACTCAATTTCATATTGTTGAACGTAACCATTGAACGGACCGAATAGCCCAGTAGTAACATATTAGACTGTGGGACTGAATGGTTTAGATTTCAATCCAGTAGAACATTAGTTCCTTCAAGATTTCAGGTACGCCATGTTAGAGAGTTCCAACTAGTATGATATTTATATCCTAAGTTTCCTCCTGACAATGTTTAACCACCTAACATCGAAACATAGTGAACATGATGTCCAGTTACTTAGAATGATGGACATGTTGTAACTTGATAGATCAAATTCAATTAACACTAAGGACAAGATAAATATGATGTTGATCATTACTTATGGATCAATCAGTGTATCTTGGAAGTAATCATTAATTCATGGAAGAAATATTACTGTTATATCTTGAATGTTGATTTCTTGATATACCGCGTATAACAGAACACTAGAACACCAAAACCCTTCCAAGTCGCAATAAGAAGACAGAAGACTAATGAGAGGAATATTATTCCAAACAGTGTCAATCATAGTACAAAATTGTCAGGTATTTATAGTTTTTAGTAAGAACGAAATCATCATTACAGTCCTCCAATCCTCATACAGTGGGCTATTAGCATTATCCAATCGGGAAGCTACACGTAGGAATTCTAGAATATTCTTCCGAAATGTGATTGGATGGAACATCTTCGACTCCTTCTGAGCCTCTTACAACTTCCACGAGTTCACCGGTGGTCCGTCGTCACAATTACGTTTCAAATAATATTAACCTCTATAAATCTTAAAGGGTTGGTATTCAATTATTGTTATCATTTTCAAGTGCAGCTGTGGTTCAAAGATTAAAGGACTAGACTTTCAGTTATCAGGCCACGAATTCGAAATCCGCCCCACTTGCTTTAGTTTGAGAAATCAGGTAACACCACTGACTCTCATGTATTAAGAGCGCAGCTCAAAGCCAAGTAGATGAATATATACCTAGTGAGCTGTAAGTTGGATTTTATTAAACTCTCGATATAGAGACTCTTTGAGCGAGTCTCAATAGTTCATGTGGCTACCAAGTAATTATATACTGTGTAATGGCTAGTAATAGAGTACAGTGTACGTTTTGTCTCATATAAGACTAGTATTGTTAATATTTACAGTAAGACTTGCCCCCAAATGTCCTGGTACATCCGAGAGTGGGGAGAGTCCATTCTCCCTCCCGAAATGCTTTCACATGGCCACGCGTATATAGCCTCTGCCAGGGAAGTCCTACTCACTGCCTTCTCGCAACATAACTGTTGTTTACGAAATAGAGAGGACGAAAAGCGAATATCCGGTGCTTTAACCGGGTTGACTAACACCGACAGTCCACCTAGGGGAGTCGGATAACCCTCATTACAAACTAATGGTGCATATGGACTTCAGGACACTGAGGGAACAAATGGCGTATGAATCTATTGTTAGTCACCGGCTATCATGGGACTGCATCTCCCGAGGTTGCTCCATTGCCTTATGGATTAGACCTTTAGGTTAAAGGCTCGGGGTGTGACCCACTAAGGAAATCATCTTTTTCAGTTTGAACACTCGTTTAGTATCCCATCCTTCACACAAATCGAATGATTTATGTGGTGCATATCTATTTGGTGCCTTCTTGTACCAATATTTATGTGTTAAAATAAGTAAATAAATAAACAGTAAGACTTGAACCCGGTATATTTACTACTTCAAAAACCAATGTGTTTAGTAAACTATTCAGTCACAACAGAAATCATATTTACAGACTAATCTATTAGATACATACCTTGAGATAAAAGCATAAAACATTAGGTAAATGAAGTAAACTGAATTGTTTAACAGCCGGTCGACCAATATTACATTGTGAACACCATATTAAACCATCAATTAATTCTGGTCGAAAATAGGATCCAAGACATGCTTGCAATGAAGTAGAACCACGTTGAATTACATCTAATGAAAGATCTAAGAATGGATCTACTGTTGATGATCTATGCTCACAACCTTCATATGATATGACAGATTCCAAATCACCAAAAAACACCTACATATATATGTATATATATACATACAATAGAGTGACAACACACGCAAGAAGAAACAATTTTACATCCAACTCAAAACAAAACATAATAGAAGAAAGTTTTGAGGATATCCTATGAAAATTTAATTTCTGCTTAGGTTTACAATTTATTTTCCAAGAGCTAATAACTGAACAATAATATTGTCTATTGTAGATGACAATAAGAATTCTCTTGTGAAAGACTTGTCTTTTATCGATACTTAAGTGCACATGTATCCAATCAAAAACGGTTGAAGTGTAGCTGCATACATTGTCAATTCGTATAATTGGAGAAGTGAAGGTTGCACTATGCCACAAATAGATCTAAGCTGGATATAAACAGAATTTGTAACAATGCCGTGGTAGTTAGTGTCGCCTGTCAAGTTAGATTGACTGGACTACTCAGTCCATTACGTCTTCTACCAAGTCAGGTGAGTTGGCTGAAGAGAGGTTAACTTAAGGTTTGAGGCCAAAATCATACTAAGATGTGATAATCATAAGATGTTTCTTTCAAATCAACATGATTTGTGATGATGCCTTCGCACAATAAAAGGAGGGTCACATAGAGCTGATGCATAAGTGACATACCCCACCTGATCTCGCGGATTTCTATCGACAACGTTAAGTTCTTAAAAGTATGGAGGTAACATATCGAAAACTACTAACAAAAACGCTGTATGACTGACCTCAGTCCGTTATCCATTTGGCTCTGAGATCACCTTTCCGGATCATCAAAAACATTCCTAACTCAGTTTTCTTTTCAGGTCTAACAAGAAAAATTATCCCTCAATAGTGTATGCAACCTGGAGGTAGTAAACGCCTTGATATCTCTAACAGAACTCGAAATCATTTGACTGAATGTTTCGCTAGTTTGAATATATGATATAGCGAATATTTATCCCTCAAAGTACAATAATACAAACTTAATCACATCTATGAATAATCTGATCACTTTGGAAGATATGCCAACTCGGTTGATAAGTCTTCAAAGACTATGGAGTAATTAGGACTATGTGTTACGATTATACTTCATTAACTATCCTTTACCTCAGAAGAGCAATGTTGACAGAAGTGGAAGTACACTGGAAGAAAGCTAAAGGTAGTGATGTGAATAGATAGGTAAAGAAGCCATGACGAACAACGAAAGCCATTTTTGAGGACATTATTTCACTGAATTTAAAGTTTTTAAAATACTAACACTTACTTTTGTTCCTGGGTTATTCCATAAACAATAAGCTTGTGTGTGATGCATGATTCACTGGCATGCTCTCTATTGTTCCAAAGCTATTGTAATTTAAACTTTATTCTTCTACCCTAATGGTTAGTTTAAACATAATTGTATTTTTCTAATGGTTTGTGCATTGTGGTCGAGTAAGTCATCTATCTTTTTATATTAATCTAAATCAAGAATAAATCGAGTAGTGTTCCAGTTGACTCGTCTTCTTTCTAGCTTGCCAACTAATCAGGTGATAGAACAGTTTCCAACTTTCTGCCCAAAATTGTTAATCTCAATTTGAACTCACACATTTCTAAGCACAAAGTTGAACCAGTTAGCCTATCGTATCAATCTACATCGAGATAAGTTCTCTTCTGTATATTATCGGGTAGATAGATCAAGGACGTAACAGGTAGAAATAAACGAAATCATAGTATCAGTACATGAAGTTATTGAATGCCTGGTTAGAATCTGTATGACTAATACTTATTAATCTTCAGTACCATGATACAAAACCGATTGGATCAATGCAGATATGCATTCATTTCGTTATTCTGTTCCCTTTCAGGTGATATTCTCTTTTTATTTGGTCATAATATCATCAATACTACAAATATTCCAACTCCTCTATTCATCGTCTTTGTTGGATTCCATTTCACCATGCTGAACTCGTGTAGTACAACTCAGGTGGATGTAATATTTTAGGCCAGTTCCTGAGTGGACCATAAATAATTGACCTGCAACCGATTTCAAACCCTCCATGGCCGGTGACGACTGATCCACCAAACGAGGAGGAAGTCCGCAAGGAACTCCAACTCTTGAAACGTTACAAATCACCTGGCCCAGATGACTTACCTCCGGCTCTTTTTAAAGATGGTGGTGACTTTTTGACTAAGGAATTGACGACGTTGTTTACAAAGGTTTGGGAACTAGAGAGTGTACCAACGTCATGGAATGAGTCGATAGTTGTCCCTATCTTTAAAAAGGGTTCACGTCGTTCCTGTAACAACTATCGGGGGATAAGTTTACTTCCGATTGCGTCCAAGCTATTGGCTTCCGTCATACTTCGTAGGTTGTTCAAAACCCGAGAAAGATTGACTCGCGAGGAGCAGGCTGGGTTTCGTTCTGGTCGAGGATGTATTGATCACATGTTCACCCTCCGCCAAATGTTAGAACACCGCCATACTTATCAAAGGCCAACAATCGTAGTGTTTCTTGACATCAGGGCTGCCTTCGATTCGTTGGACAGAACTGTTCTCTGGGATTGTCTATTGAAGAAGGGTGTGCCTGAGAAGTTTATTAACATCCTAAAAGCCCTATATAAAAACACCTCAGGCAGAGTGAAGGCATACAACCACCTCTCTCCATTGTTCCATTCGAGCAGTGGGGTTAGGCAGGATTGCCTAATCTCACCATTCCTCTTCAACTTTGCCATCGATGACATTCTAGAAACAGCTCTGATGAATGTAAGTAATGGTGGTGTGAACCTGTTGCCTGGAGAAAGACTTCTCGACCTTGAGTATGCAGACGATATTGTCTTACTGTGCGATAATGCCCAACGCATGCAATCCGCACTTAATCAGTTGGCAATCAGTGTCCATAGGTATGGTATGTGCTTTGCACCTTCGAAGTGCAAAATACTTCTACAAGACTGGCAGGATTCCAATCCTGTACTCACCCTGGATGGTGAGCAGATAGACGTAGTCGAGAAGTTCGTGTATCTGGGTAGCTGCATAAGTGCTGGTGGGGGTGTGAGTGATGAGATCAATGCACGTATAGTGAAAGCCAGAGCGGCTTATGCCAACCTGGGCCACCTTTGGCGCCTTCGTGATGTTAGTCTGGCTGTAAAAGGTCGGATCTACAACGCGTCGGTGAGAGCAGTTTTGCTCTATGCTTGTGAAACCTGGTCTCTCCGAGTTGGGGACGTTAGACGACTCTCTGTGTTCGATCATCGTTGTCTCCGAAGGATTGCTGACATTCAGTGGCAACACCATGTCAGTAATGCAGAGGTTCGGCATCGTGTGTTCGGGCACAGAGATGATAACCCAATTGGTGTCACCATCTTGAAACACCGACTTCGGTGGCTTGGACATGTTCTCCGAATGTCGTCCCAGAGAATTCCACGTCGTGCATTATTTGCCGACTCTGGGACTGGTTGGAAGAAGCGGAGAGGTGGTCAGTGCATGACATGGTGTCGTGGTATGAAAGAAAGCTGCAAAGGACTGGCTTGTGTTGGTCCTTCACGACTCCCTGGCTGGGGTCTGAGAGATGGTGCCACACAGTGGCTAGAGACGTTATCAGATATGGCTCAGAATAGAAGCCAGTGGCGATCCTGCTGTAACCTTCTTTTACTTTCTTCATAAAAAGTGGTTGTGTCTCCCTTACCTGAAAGATTTCTTCTGATTGTACCTTTCCGTTCCCTCATTTCTACCATACTACCTTACACCAATCTCCTCGTTATTGTTCTCTTTTTTTTGCGCTCCTTAGCTTTTTTTTTTCTATTTCTCTTCGAATTCTCATTGTTTTGTGTGGCGCATATATATTGGTCAATATTCATGTGTTCAAATAAATAAAAATAATAAATAATCTGAGGTTTCTCACAATATATATATATTTAAATATATGCGTAGTTAATGAAGCAACTCCTATTAATCAGTAAATGATTTTTACCAACTAATACAAGATCTTCGCCTAATTATACTCAGCATTTGTTTAACCCATTGCTTATATATGTTAGCCTGTTAATTGACAAAGTGTTAAAACCCATTGTATCGTATTAGTACTGTTAATAGTAGAGCTGATTCAATGTAAATCAACCATTCACTACATAAATATACATATGCATAGATAAAAAATTTTCTCGTCTACCTACCTGATGAACAATACAATCACAAGAATCGGAACTTTCTCGAGAACTCGATACTGATGATGCTTGTGAATTTGAATCCGGTTGTGGAATACATTCAGTTGAATTGATTATTTTCGGCGTTTCTCTAATCACTTTACTATTATGCTGATGATGATGTAGTAAATTATGATTTGTATTAATAAAATTACGATCTGGATTAGAAGAGCGTGATTGTTGATCATTGATAAGTTTTTGTCCAGTCAATGTACAATTCTCTAATAATAGAAATTGTATTTTACATGTAATAACCAACTTTAATGATTAAAATAACGCGGGATGAAAAATTAGTAAGCATTAAATACCTGTGTCATAAGATTACAGGATTTCTCGATAATTTATATCCCTAACCCTAACAGAGATCGAACTCGCAACCTTCATGTATCGAGGTAGGCACTGAGCTTTTAAACCACTGAACCAGCACCTATTGTTTACATGTCTAGTCTCAATGTATTCGCAAATTTACGCAACCATTGGTGAGTAACTGCATTATTACCAACATAGCTGAACTCCAATTGTTAGAGTCTCTCACATACATGTCAATTCAATGGTCTAAAGGTTAAAAGCTCATCACGAGACTCGGAAGCCGGAACGTTCGAACCGGAACGTAGTTCGACACTAGGACGAAGTAGCTGTTCAGTCCCTCCTTGTTTGAAATTGTTATCTAACCAAACTCAATCCATAATATGAAGAGTAAATTGGGAAAAAAACTATATACTCACCTTCATGATCGTGTGGTGATTCCTCGCCAACAAGATGACCATGTATTAAAGTCAACAATGTTATAAGAAATTCATGAGCATCCCGTTGTTCATAACCAGCTAAATGACTTGCATGTAACCAAATTGCATACAGCAGATTATTTGGTACAAATGGAGTAACAACGGGTTTATATAACTATATATTCGAGAGATAAAAAATTACTTCGATTATGTATATATATACACAAAAGAATTAAACATTTAACAATCAGTGCTTATCGTGAAGTAACACCAACCTACATTTGAAAACATACTCTGTATAACGTAAAACTCTGACTGGAGCACTCCTAGGGTTAATTTCGATCCCAAGTCCTTGTAAAGGAGGAGGATTCGGGTTGGGTTTAGCAACCACGTTTAATGAAAGAGAACTTAGCTTAAAAAAATTCTAGCCAAAAAAATCATTTTGACCATTTAAAATCTGGCCTGGGGATTTTCATATAAAAGTTATAACGCCTTATGGTGAAAGCCGAGATTTTTCGGAAATCACGAGGCCGATACTCCTGAAAACCAGAGTAACAATTGATATGAATATAAGGAATGTCTACGAAGTGTGGGGGGATCGGAAGGATCATTCACATAGAGGCAGAAATGAAAAGGTAGACTTGGAATCTTCAAGACAAAAGGAAAACAGGGGGACATCAGAAGGATGAACAGCACTTGGCAACAACTAGGAAGAAAGGGCTCATGGCGGATTTGACTGGATATCCCTGGTCAGCAACCTATGCTTCAAGATAGGTAACAGGCTCAAGTCTGTATGATGCGCACCTCTACAATAACACACAGCATTGAGAACTGAAGACCTTAAGATATAAAGAGGTCAAGTCAGAAATAAGGTGATGTGGTAAGTAACTCTCAATGATGACATTCGGACGAGGGTTATGATATAAAGCAAGTTGAATTTAAAAAACTGGATACTTCGAAAACCTATGAACAATAATAACTGACTCAATATGCCAAAAATTGATCTTTGTGTGTTCGACCCGAAAATGCAAAGAGTTTACAAGCAGAGATAAAACAACTATCCAGTATACCTTAGTTATCAGTGGTTTTTCTGGTTGATATCGTTCCTGATGTTGTATAGTCTCCACAAAACCACTGCAGTAAATGATATTCATAAAAATCCAGTAACTTGATCTACTCTCTGTACAAATTGAAAACATTATACCAAACAAAGTTTAAAGGACAAACAACTATGAAGTTAGAGTCTCCTTTCCTTTTTCTTTCCAGATGTCCTTATTCATAATAACTACAGGAGATGAACAGTTTTGTATTAAACGGATTTTGTCGGCTAAGCTACCATATGATCACTTGTCTGAATGAATCAACAAGGAAGTGTACAATGATATTATAAGTAAACAAGATAGATCTGATGCTTTGATGAAAGTGGATATTCCTGTTATGGATGCAGAATAATATACCAATCATTATCATGTTAAGTCTAATGATGTCCTTGGACCTTAAATGGACATTCCCTATTGGCCATTATTTATTTCATTCGTTAAATAGTGTACAAATGTTGTTTTCTATTTTTATGGTACGATGTGGTCTGTTTGGTTAGTATGTAAATAGAGTATGTCTGAAATACAATGATTCATAACTCAGAGGCTGTGACTTGCGTTCTAGACTCAACTGGCTGGGCTAGATAGGGAAGCGGGACCAATCAGGGCACTAGGTCGTTTATTCCGTTTTTTCCGTGTCACTGTTATCGATCGATATAAACTCTGCGCATCAACCCTGCAATTCACCCGTTACAACAATTCCCACCCTTTGCCCCCCCATTGATTCAAACCACAGTACCAACTTGATTAACAGAATTCAATCAAGTACTAAGGATTATGCAACACGATGCTCGTGTAATATCATGAAATGGCTGAAGTTAGGAATGCAAACCACCAATTCGGCAGCCTAATGGTTAACCATTCACCCCGACACTTCGAAATCTGGTAGGGTCGTAGATGTCCTTGTTGAGAGATCCTGTACGCGTACTAAATAACTATTCAATACTTTTTGACTTTCACTAGTTGCCTAACTAAAGTCAGTCTGTGATATACAACTACTATAAAGAGAAAATGACATTTTTTACTATCAAACGTCATTTTAATTAGCGTACAAACATTTCAATTCTACATGGCAAAAGTTGTAGAGCAAATACCTCATTTTTAAATATCTATAAATGTAACGAAACCAGCGTCCTGGATTCCACTGTAAGCCACTATCCATCCGCCCCCAAATGCCCTGGTACGGTCAAGAGTGGAAAGAGTCAGCTCCCCCTTTCCAAATGCTCTCAAGTGGCCACGTGCATACAACCACTGCCTTCTCGCGGCGGGGGTGTTTTTTACGAAATTGAAAGGACGAAAAGTGAATGCCCGACGCTTTGACAGGCTTAGTGGACACGAAGAGTGCACCTAAAAGAGTTGGAAAACCCTGATTCCGAATCAATGGTACACATGAGCTCCAGGATCCTAAGGAAACAAATGGAGTATGAACCAATTATTGGTCACCGGCTACCATGGGACTGCATCTCCTGACGTTGCTCCACTGCCTTATGGATCAGCTCCTTAAGTCAAAAGCTCCGGCTGTGGCCCCCTATGAAAATACCTGCTTTGGTTTGGGCGTCCGGGCAGTATTCCAATCCACACACAAATTGAGTGACGAAGCGTGACGCATATCTATTTGGTGCTTCCTTGTACCAACGTTTATGTGTTTAAATAAAATAAAATACACTATCCATCTTTGCTTAGACTGTAATGTTAAGTTTGGATTCCTTAAAGAATATTACTGGTCTAGGAATTGATGTTATACAAAAAAAGTATGTTAAGCAGTGCTTCTTATCAAGCGTTTCAAATAGTCAAACAAGATATTTATTTAAACAATGAATTATATGCGTAAATATACATATATATACCTCTTGTGTAATACGAACCATTTCGCAAGCTAAACAGTTACGTGATCGAGTTGGACTTGAACACCTATGTAAATCAGCCAATAAATAATCCCGTAAAACGGGTGTATGCGTCAACGCTTGTATGACAACATTTAAGAAACATGTATTGCCCATATTGATAAGACCACGCATAGCTACAGAAAAAGTACAGAAAAAAAGGCTATTTACATTGATTATTCTTTGAGTAGTGACCATTATTATGTCTATCTGATCGTTTATTGTCAACTACGTCTAATTACTTAATACCAGATAAGTTATTTATTTACTTTTTCTTGAATAAATATATTCATATTAGAGGTTATTAGTGAAGACCTGTATTTGTGATTTTAAACTATGATCTAACTTAGCTACATACTCGTTGAAAATTAAATTGAACTGAATTGTTGTTTTGTCTAAGTACGGAACTACTAAACAGTGAGTATCCAAGAGGAGAATTCCTAAAGTACTAGTGAGAAGCTAGAATTAATGGGAGTTCAATCATTTCTAGTGTGAGACAAGTATTATCGATGATGATTAGATGATACTCTGAAATTATTGAACTTGGAAATGTAAACCATCGGATAGTATGAGCTGAAGAATCTGAAAGTAACGTGCTTCCTATGAAACTAAAAAACCCTGAGTATAATTCCTCAGCGGCATCATAGGTGTGCATTCCCGAAGTGTCCCATGACAGGACAAAATAACTGTTTTAATGGTTGTCTAGGTAAAGTCAGTTCAATATTTAACCTATGAATGAATTTTAAAGAAATCATTATGAGGTACCCTACGTTCATAATTATTGTACTATAAAGGAAAAAATAAGGTATACATAAATAAGCGAATTAGACAGTGTAACATATTTTTTTTTAAAAACAGAAAGTGAACTTTGTATCGGTTAACAACTTAAAACATTCAAAATGTATCATTTTTAAACTTCTCATTACTACTTAGGGTCCACGTGACTATCGTAACCAATGATTGGGGACTCCGGGTGACGTGGCTCAGGATCAATCACAATTGCGTAGGTGTATAAACTCTTTGTTTTCTCTTATACTATGAGATTAAAATTACTTCATAACTTGCTTTTTACGAACTAATTCTTTCTCCCTGTATTATATCCTCATATGCAATCTTCCTTTTATATATTACTACCATTGAAGTAACTACTTCTATGAATTTGGTGTTCATCTTGTTGTGTTAATGAGGTCAGTCAGACATGCACATAAATGCATCGGCCCAAGTTACCACACCTCATTAGCACAGCAAGACGAACACCGATTCATAGAAGCAATTAACTCAATGGTGTAATATATAAGGGAAAGGTTTTATGTCAGGATATAGTACAGAAAGAAAGATGTGAAATAATTTTAATCTCATAGTTTAAGGGAAGACAACGAGTGTATGCACCTATGCAATAGTGATTGATTCTGAGCCATGCCATCCAGAGTCTACAACCATTGGTTACGATAGTCACGTGGACACCAACCAAGTAGTCTGCATCTAACAGCATGGCTCATACTAGAAGTTAGTGACTTGAAGCACTGATGCTACGTTTTGGTTTGACCGCCCCTAACTTTCTTCCAACCACTCCTAACACTACTCGGCATTGTGAGTCGTGGTAATCGGTGTTCAGGCATACGTAACACGTGGCCCAACCATCGATGGTCCTACGTTGTAGGTGACTGAAATCAGGTGAGACGCTCTCTGTTTCATATCACATCCTGAAAAAAATTAATTTAATGAGTATGATTATGGCTTCGTTACATAATTGAAGCGATCAGGATCACTTCTAGAAAACTAAACTAATATATTCAAAGAAAAAGACATATTTAACTTCTCTGTTCATAGTGACACACGATTAGGTCACTTCTTACATAAATTATGTATTACAAGCCTTTAACTCCCATCTTATTTTATGTTTATCTCCGCCTTGTCCTATCACATTTTCGATTTGCACACTCGTCATTCTCAATTTATATGAATTTCTTATTACAATTGCCCCCATAAAACCTGTTTTATTACGTAATATTACTACATACGCCTGTTAATCCTCATGAACGAACATAAGCTGTCCACCAGCACTCTCCATCCAACACTGTCCTGGACGATACTTTCCATTTGATACTCATCCTTTTCATATCTGCTTCTATTTCCCGATCTAATGTGTTCTTTGGCCTTCCCCTTTTTCACTTCCCTTCAAAATTCCAAGTTAGGGATTGCCTCGTGATGCAGTTTGATGATTTCCGTAATGTATGTCCCATCCATTTCCATAGTCTTTCCCTAATTTCCTCTTCACCTGGAAGCTGGTTTGTTTTCTCCCACAGAAGACTGTTGCTGATGGCATCCGAACAATCGATGTTGAGTATCTTGAGTAGACAACCATTTATAAATACTTGTACCTTCTTGATAGTGCTTGTTGTAGTTCTCCAAGTTTCAGCTCCGTACAGTAGAACTGCCTTGACGTTCGTATTGAAGATTCTCACTTTGATATTGATTGAGACAGTTGTTTTGAGTTCCATATGTTCTTCAATTGTAGGAATGCAGCCGTTGCTTTACCAATCCTCGCCTTTACGTCTGTATCTGATCCTCCTTGTTCATCGATGATGCTTCCCATGTATGTGAAGGATTCCACATCTTCTAGAGTTTCGCCATCAAGTGCAACTGGGTTGGTGTTCTCGGTGTTGTTTTTGATGATCTTTCTTCTTCCTTTGTGTATGTTGAGGCCTACTGCTGCAGAGGCTGCTACTACACTAGTTATTTCAGTTAGCCTGGCATAGAATCTCTCCTAGTATGCATTTTATCCTCATGATTTATTGATTGTAACATAATGCTTAACAACGAACTTTCCATCTTTTATAAATGGCTTCATACACTGACAAATGACACATTTTAAATCTAGTTGAACAGTAATTGTCGATGTCAAAATTCACCAGTCTAATAACATTAACTATTGGATTGAGTCATGTAAGTACATAATGGTTAAATTGGTTGAAACTCGGATGATTATTGTGGCCAATGATTAGAGACTTTGAATCGTTTGGAATGGCTCAGATTCATTCACATTTTGTATTCTTTTAGATTTTAAGTTGTTAATTCCTCAAAAGCTTTTTTTATGATTCACTCATTTACATTTTCGTCTCAAGTCGTATCTTTGATGTTTAACCGCTTTTATTACCACTAATACTGTTAATACTATCTCTAATACTCTGATATTTGTCTAGATAATTACATCTTGGTGCACTTATCGGGTATGGTAACTTGTACCGATGTACATATTTGTCAAAACCTACATTGTGTTTGACTGACTAACTAGTCGACTAGTCTAACATAACATTGTCTAATTCTTCTATTCACGTATGCCTTATTTTGGTCCTGTAATAAAACAGCTACAAATTTATAACTGCAGAGTCACTGATGATGATAGTGAAGTTATTTAGAACAATTGTTCACTCAAATGTTCTTTAATTTAGGATACAAATGGTGAAATGTGGAACACGAATTGAAATTAGCTACATCGTAACTTAGTAATCAAGACAACTAACTCTGACACTAAGGACTAAGCAACCAGGACATGTTAATAACAACAAATAACTAATCAACCTAATAGAATGAGAATCTTCACAAATTCTGTGCACAAAAAATTGCAGGTCAAAATAAAACATTAAGTAGACAAACCTCCAGAACAGCCATTTACAGTTAAGGGTAATACTGGAGTGATATGAGGTATGAGGCGTAATTCATTAAACGATGGTCTCCAATAACGATTGGATAAACCTGAAAAATTAATCATAAGAGTAATGAGAATATTAAATACTACTGAAGTTACTGATAAGAATATAACTTAATTCTAATGAAACCTCTGAAGCAAGTTTGAAAGAAAAAATGAGATAAAAGCTGATACAATGTACTGTTTTTTGACTCCTATACGGAAGTTTAGAACATCCTAGTTGAGAACGAATATAGCAATGTCATAAGACTATGCGGCCCCCAAATGCCCTGGTATGACCGAGAGTGGAAAGAGTCCGCTCTCCCTATCCAAATGCTCTCACATGGTTACGCGTACATAGCCCCTGTCAAGGAAGTCCTACTCACTGTCTTCTCGTGGCGGGGCTGTTGTTGTTTACGAAATTGAGAGGACGAAAAGCGAATGTCCGGCGCTCTAACCGGATTCCAAATCAATGGTGCACATGGGCTCCAGTATCCTGCGGGAACAAATGGCGCATGAACCAATTGTTGGTCACCGGCCTTCATGGGACTGCATCTCCTTATGATGCTCCACCGCCTTGTGGATCAGACCTTCCGGTCAAAGGCCTGAGGAGTGCCCCCCTAAGATAACCACCTGCTTCGGTGTGGGCACCCAGGTAGTATATCAGCCCTCACACAAATCTAATGAGATTTGTGTGGCGCATATGTATTTGGTGCCTCCTTGTACCAATATCTATGTGTTAAAATAAAAATAATAATAATAAATCCTAGTGTGCAATTTCAACATTTTATCTGATCATACTGATCCTTCCCTTTCGAATCATAACTTCTTTATTTTGAATATTCAAAATCTCAACAGCTTTATTACCAGTTCGCTTCATAAAAATAACAATTTCATGTCTTTTTTGTTCGTATGTTTTATTTGAAAACATAAATATTGGTACAAAGGGGAACCGAATACAAACGCGCCAAACAAATCACTTAATTTATGTGTGGACTGTGATACTGCTCGGGTGCTTAGACCAAGGCAGTTGGTTTTCTTAGGAGGCCACACCCGGAACCTTCAACCTAAAAGTCTGATCCACAAAGCAGTGGAGCAAAATTTTATTATCACTATTATTGTCATTGTTATCGTCTGGAAAAATAAGTGTACATTTGTAATTGTACCGCTTTAAAAATGAATACGCCGAAGAGAGGATTCTGCGCTGAACGAATTTTGCTTATTTGATTTTGTTCATGTAGGTCTAAATTATCCATGAATACTGTTACTGCTAGGCAGAATGACTCTGGATATAATCTAACGTGTGAGACTGACCTTATAAGAAAAATATAGCTAATTAACGGATATATTCGTAGAAAATAACTAGTAAAATTTCAAGTGTTTTAATCCTCTGAATAGGTTTTGGCGAATCAAATAACATGATGCTCTTGACATAAAAGAAGACTTTTTCTCTTAATAAAGAAAATATGACTAGTGAATTCTTCTAACATTACTAAATTGTTGTTGTCGTAAAAACTAAAAAACGACAACAGCTAATACAAGCATTACTACTACTTATCCACCTAGAAAATTGAACAGTGACATAGTTCAAATTGCTTTTAACAGAGTAAAAATATGTCACTCCACACTCAACATTGAACCCGATACAAGTGAATTGGTTCAATTTCCCAAACCAAATTACCACAATGAGATAAAATTATTTCAAGACAGATACTAGAGTACGAGAAATAACAGTGTCACCAGTAGAACAGAGTATGTATGGAAATCAAAAAGAATATAAGATTTCAGGACTCAAATCCTAGAAAAAGACAAAGGAGGAGAAGCACCTGTGTCATTGCGAACGATTTTGAGTCATGTCACCTAAAGTGTCTAACCATTGGTTACGATAATCAAACGGACCTCAGTCAGAGTAAACATACGATCTCTATTTGTTGGTTTAACGGATAATCAAAATACAGTTCCCATTTCAGGCCCCAAAATGCCCTGGTACGGCCGAGAGTGGGGAGAGTCAGCTCCCACACAAAAGTCATACTCACTGCCTTCTCGCGGCATAACTGTTGTTTACGAAGTCGAGAGGGCGAAAAGCGAATGTCCGACGCTTTAACCGGGTTCGTAAACACGGAGGGTTTACCTAGGGGAGTTAGACAACTCTCATTCCAAACCAATGGTGCACATAGGCTGGCTCCAGGATCTTAAAGGAACAAATGGTGTATGAACCAATCGTTGGTCACCAGCTACCATGGGATTGCATCTCCTCACGATGCTCCACTGCCATGTGGATCAGACGTTTAGGTCAAAGGCTCCGGGTGTGGCCCCCTATGAAAACCACCTGCTTCGGTTTGGGCACCCGGGCAGTATCCCAGCCCTCACAAAAATCGAATGACTTATGTGGCGCATATCTATTTGATGCCTTCTTGCACTTATGTTTATATATTAAAATAAATAAAACAAAATATCATGGTAATATTTAGTGAAGAATGAGACTCACCAAATTGAGCTAAATAAGTGCGACATGCAGACTGATGAAAACTTTCAGCCACAGAATGGTAAACAAAATCACCACAACCAGTACAAAATAATTCACCACGTTCTGTACAAACAGCTTTATGAATATAACAAAAAAGGATCTGAGTGATTAGTTTTCCATGAACAATAAACAAACATACAGAGAGTGTGTGAGTGATTAAAATCAAATGTAGTTCTATAATTAATTTGCTAAGCAAAAAATAGTTCATTTTAATTCGTTTAATAATCATTCCTCGCTAGAAATCTTTAACTATAAGTTAACAAACGATCATTTAAATAAGTCAAAACACTTATCATTTATAGAATTGGACGTAGGGGTGTATTAGGCTTATGAATTTTCGGTAATCCATATAAATTAGGATATGCCGAACCCATAGGATGAGTTTAATTTATTAAAACCTATGGGTTCGGCATATTCTAATTTATATGAATTACCGAAAATTCATAAGACTAATAACCCCTTAGTCCAATTTTATCAATGTGTCGGTCGCCTACACATAACCTTGCAAAATGACTTATCATTTAGTCGATTCTTAGCCGAAGTATGATTCTGCTATATGACATTATACAATATCATAAAGCCTGTATTTTTGGAAAAATCTCATGTAATATAATAAAAAAGCTTCGGATTACAGAGTAATGAACAGTTTTCAACAAATAATCCAATCTGAATTTTTCATTACTCATGATAACTAATAAAAAAAATTACAGTTAGCAACAATTACACATAAAACACGATAGACTTACAAAGATAATGATCAGGATGGTCTTCTCTGTGTAAATATATATGACGATAATCCCAACAAGCGAAATGAATACAATGAGCACATGCGAGCAAACATCTAGGTCTTATCAAATCTTTATTGCAAACGTCAAAATCTTCACCTCGTGTTTTGCATAAAGCGCAATATAATGAAGCCTGATTAATAACAAAAAACGATGATAATTTCTGTAGTATTTTAAAAGTTTTTTGACTGCTACTTAATGTATAATTTAAGTAACTGGAACTGAAATGTTTAGATCTTTGTCGAATTATTTAGGAATTCCAAACAAAATATGTGTATATCGTTTACAAGTTATAGAAGGATGTTTGTGACGTTTAGATAAGTTCTTTGAAAGAAATATTACACACAAATATACGCTTGTTTGGAAATCAAAGATTGACAAACATATGTTCCTCTAGAAAAACTAGAAATCTTTAAATATAATATACAACTAAGATAATGCGTAAAAGTTTGAACTCAAAAGATGAATTTTAGCATGAAAGTCAATTATAAATCAACAGTCTTCTCTGAATTTACATTTTAGTATATTTCAATTAATTGAACCAATTCATTGTCATGGTATTTGTAACATATATATAATTCTCATCATTAAGAACCGATGAGCATGAACTCACGGATATTCACCTTGCATTAGTTTCACATCTATATATTAAACCAGATAGATTAAATAGTACTGTTCGAGACTGACTTAATAGTTGCATGATAGTTTATGGCCTTATTCTTAGAGAAAGTTATGAACCATCAAATTCCATTTATAGATATCAAAGACCTAAAGGTCATCCAACCTAGTGGCTTGAGACGTGACTAAGAATATAATTTAGCGGTGGTAGTGTTTTAGCTCTCTATTATATGCATCATAAATGGCAAAACATAGTTGAAAGAAATTTGTGTTGTATGTAAATTGACTGGATTGTATTTTTAGTGGGCTATTGCACTAATTCTCTAACAACCAAAATGGTAAATAAGAATGGGTAGGATAGTAGTGAAAACAATCAACAGTTATACCTATAAACTTTTATTTGCATAAAGCCGTGAAGACTTCTTAAAACCGAATTAACTTATATGTAACAACTGAGTAAATCTAGCTAAAAGTTAATGACATGTTAGACAGACTAAGTTATTTGACAAGTTGTTTACATTAACACATATTTAACACATTTCAAAACCAAGATACTATTATTACAGAAAGTGTACATCACTGTAAAACATGGTATTTACCAGGACTTACAAAATAAAACTTTGTATCTTATAACGCATCTGCAAGTCAGAAAACTAGTTCGTTCCTAAATAGCTTCAATGAATACCAATCTTTGTAGTTTAGTAACGAAAGTCTAAGTCAAACGACTACGATTTTATGTTATCTAGTAGCTTCAATTAAAAAATATTCGAACATAAAGGTAGAGCATCACACAAACAATAAATTCTCTAGAGTGAACCTAGGATGCAATTCTCTAGTATGGTGACTAACTGAAAGTATCTCAAACAAACAGTACATAATTCGTAGCCTATGTAACGACGGAAAAACAATATGCTAGATGAATGACCTGTAAAATCTCTAAATTTCTCGAAAGACAATCCGCGTTTCAGTGGACATACCTTATGAGTGAATTCACGCTTGGACTTTGGGAAAGCAAGATGGTTAATTATATTTTTGTATGCAATTTCATTTGTCTTCTGTGTGAAGAATTGGTTCGCATGTTTGCAAGACATTTCAGGCATATTTGACCTTAATGTCTATATTTTACCCTGGTCACTAACTAGACCATAATTAAGTTTTTTTGATTGATTTCATATCAGTGAAAATATGGGTGGAAAAAAGCCTAAGATACTGAAAACCCGAAATGTTTATAATTAGCGCCTGAGAGCGTGTGAGCTAAGACCGGTTTCATTGGTTGGCCCGGTAAGGACCAAAATCTTTAGTGTTGAATGTCTTATTGACTAGCAAACATCTTTCAATTTTTTCTTTATGGTCCAGTCTTCATATGAAGGAATAACTGGTACTTTACAGAAATCAATGGGATTCAAATGATTCAAATGGTTGTGGACGGAATAGAAGAAGCTTTCGCTTAATAGGCTTTCGTGTCTAGTAGCAGTGGATCACCAATACCTGCAGGCAGGAACCTAGGTATATTAACCATAATATAGGAAAAAGAAATTGGTAAATCATAATAATATATTATCCTTAGGCCTTGAGAATAGGCCAAGTTGTCTCTTAAAGAACTGGGAAGTCGCTTGGACTAACTCAGTCGGCAGCGAATTCCAGCATTTGACAACTCTTAAGGAGTAGAAGTTGTGTTTACAGTCCTTTCTGCTGTTTTGTGTCCCTGGTTTCTGGGTGTTACCCCTAAGGTTTGTGCTGGAGCTAAACTTAACTAGGTGTTTAAGGGAATGTCCAGAAGTGTCAAGGATGCTGTAAGCCTTTAGAAGGTCGCCTCTAAGACACCTGTACTCCAATGAGTAAATGTTTAGTGGTTAGAAGCGCTCCTCATAAGGCTTGAATTTGAGTCCCTGAGCTGATTTCGTGGTTCACCGTTGAATACTCTCCAGAGTGTCCCTATCTTTTTGGAGTGAGGAAGGAAATAATATATTTTCGTACTCTAAATGGAGAAGAATAAAACTGTTGAAGATTAGGTGTAAAGTTCTTCCGTCAAACTGGCCAAAAGTGAGCTTCAGTGTTGTCAGTGCAAGGTTTGCTCAAAAGGCATTTCTGTCACAGCGTAAGACTTTGTAGCGGTAAATAAATCCCCAAAATAAATAGCTCTGTAAGTTTTTGACATTGGATGCTCACCACATGTTTTAATGAACTCACCTAGCTGAAGGCGCTCAGTCATGTATCCGCACCAGATCACGTGTGGAAACGCCGTACTCAACATCTATTGCAATCGCTAGCCAGATTAGATCAGACAATCCTCGATATATTGATATCACATCAAATATATCTTCCGATCTCCTCCATTCTGTCTTTTGGTTTCTCTTGGTGGGTACGCTTCATATTAGAAGGTGTTACTGGTTAGAGCGTTGTCAAACACTGAATACCTGTGCCATCTTCATTGGTGAGCCTAACGTGATCCTCCTGAAGTGCCTGTATATCGTCTTGGTTGCGTATCTCTCTCCAAAGTTCCACGTCATCAGCAAAAAGTAATAAGTCTGACGATACATGTTGTGAAAGATCATTTTTTTAATCAAGAAGAGAAGAGGTCCTGGAGGACCACACTAGGACATTCCATAGCCTGAGATAAAGTGAAATTAACCCTGACCTCAAAATGTCGATTTTTCAGATATGAAATGATCCAATCAACTAGAGGTGGTCTGATACCTAATCGTCTGAGCTTATTGGTAAGGCATATATGGTTACCCCTATCAAAAACTTTTGAGAAATCCAGGCAAATGACGTCAACCTTCTCTTTGTGATCAAGGATGCTTGTCCACCTGTCCACTGCAGTCAGCAGGTTGTTTATACAAGAATGACACTTCCTGAAACCATTCTGTTGAGGTGAAAATGGGTTTGGCGATAATAAATAGTCGTGTGTACGTCACACATCAGGGAAACCATAATTTTTGACGGTATCTAGAGAAGGGCCAACGGTTAGTAGCTTGAAGGTTCTTTGCATCGACCCCCTTTGAAAATTGGTGTGATGTGAGCCAGCTTCCAAATTTCCGGTAGTTTGCCTCGGCTTAGCGAGTATGAGAACATCACGCTAAGCGATTAATCTAGATACATGACACCAACAATCACATTGAATTCAATAAATAGTTGGCCATTGCATTATCCAAAATCTTGGTGTTGAGTTTGCATAAACTGATTGATTTCCTTGATCCCACTTATCGCTTGTTCGTTAAAGTTATATATCTGCGGTGGTGTTCAGTGAGAAGTAGTCTAACAATTTGACTGCACTAATTCTAAACTTTTTTGTAGTTACTTATGGGATCATGTTATCTGAGTGAATTAATTTGTCTCAGAGTAACCGGTATTCTCGAGCCAATAGCTGTTGCATTACCAGGTAGGAGGACGGGGTTGTTGAAATGTGAAAAATAATACGAGGACTATCCGAATGCAGAAAAGCTGAGAGAAGACTGTTGTCTGAAGAAGTAAACAAATAAATAAGTTAATTAGTTAGCGACATGGACAGTGTGGGTCAGTAGAAGTGTAAGGACAAAAGGAAAATATAGATTATGAGAAGCTTAATAGAAGAAATCAGTGATGATCACCGCAACCTCTGTATCGTACACATCAGGTTGGCCGAAATGCCATACTCCAGCTTAGGACTCTTGTGTACTGCCATACTGGTTGGTTCTCCGTGGCCTGTTGAGTGTTTCCTCACGATCTGTTTCACAGGCTACAATTTGTCGTGTTCAACTCTGGTTCTTGATGACCGTTTTGACATTGATATCTGAGACATCATGATAGTTTTCTGTGCCATACTTGTGTAATCCACAGTCACTCTTAGTGCGTAAGGTTTGTTTTTTATCCTAGTTTAGTTTCTTCATAAGCGACACAGTTTGAGTTGAATAGTAACCATGTCGAGCACGAGACAGCATTGTCCCACTGCTGTTTATCAAAAGCTGAACTGCTCTCCTGTAGAATACCCTCTGACGCTGAAAGATCAAAGAGAATTATCAAGTTTTGAACGGCATCTATTTCACAAGTTTTAATGCAATAGGAACTACGTCGTTCATATGTCCTCTTCTGGCAGTCACCTACTGTTAATTCCTACTATCATTAAGTGTGGTGTATAGAGTGAACTTGAAGCGTGTACTGATGTTTATCTGGGTTATCTCTCTCGTGATCACTTCTTTTCCTATGTCTGCCCTGGCTGTACTGATAGAAAGGGTACGATTTTTTCAGTTTAAATGGAGCTTTACGTTGAAACTTCATGAGTGAGATTGACGCATTCTTTTCAGGTTTGCACACAATAACCACGAGACTGGTTGACGTAACATGAACATGTGGTACTGCCCGGGCGCTTCAGTGTTACAGCCACAGAAGTCAACCCACCAAACAACTCAGTTCGAATTCTGATTTCTCATTCTAACCAGTAACGTACACGCGATATAATTGTCACCTTCGTATCCTCCTCCAGCCTACAGCGTTTGCAAGTATCTTGTTTTGTTGTGCTTTTTGCTTCTGTTTTCCTTGCTTTTACAGAAACGGGACTCTGTCAGGGTTTAGCCCTCGGTTCCTGCACAGAAGATTTTTATGAATGTGTTGTGTAGACAGTACTGTATACGTTGCTTTGGGGTACCTTAGTTTTATTTTAGAGCTTTTGAAGGCATCTAGCTAAATAGGGGGACTTTTACTTACTATCATCTCCTGCAATAAAGTCTGGACTTTCTATCCTTGCAACTATGGTGTAGGTAGTGGTGGGAACTTTATTATTGTGAGTGCCACTCGACAAACGAAGAAAACAAATATGAGTTGGTTTAAAAAGAATGATTATAAATTAAGCTGTCGCGGAGATGCCACTGGTTAGTTTGATTGCACTATTAAATTCACCGATTAGTTGCGCGCGTTTTTGTCGTCAGTTAGATTTGCTTTTGCGTATTTATCACTTCAGGAACATACTTGATACACTTTAACTTGAATTATTCCAGTTAAGGTTTGGGTTTTTCTCCAAGTCCTTTTTGGTACTCCTTTTCACTCGGTTCACACGCTAGGGATTGTGTTTTGCACTTCTGTCGACGTTCCCTACTTAATTCTTTTCAAAATAATAGCCTTTAGTTATAAATGTGGGCAGTTCAGTTGTTCCTTCCCTGTAGAAGAAGGAGTGAAATGTGATGATGTAAAATGTGGTTCCACAAGATGTGTAACTTTTTAAACACCACCGCATACGAAGGATGCTCGATGTCTATTTTCCATTGGATATGCATGTTTTGCTGTTCGAGTTGTGGCATTCATCCATTCATTCTGGTTGTTGGTGTTTGATTAGCTTAACTCGCTATCATATGTAATTTTAACAGACAGTGATATGGATTATGGAAGATAACTACAAGTAATGTAGTTGCTATTTGTGCAATTAACAGTCGACATTTCTATAGACTTCGTACTACATATACAATTTTACTCAGGTGTCATGGCATCCACTTGTTGTAATCTATCCCATACTGTGCAATTCAGTTGTTTTCATTTAAAAAGGTGTTCGCCGGCCATCCCCAACTCTTCTATTACGGCGAGCAAATACACAAGGTTAATCGTTTCGAGGAGGTGCGTTGATACAAACTGAGTAATAATAGATTCTTGAGGATACTTAAAATTGTAACTCCACCGTTGATCATGTCAGCAGGCGCCTTTACATCGTACCGGAAACTTCCCCACAAGTCTCGCGTTAGCTATAGACTGAGTGTACATATATCGCGGTTGGAACAACTAAGGAAGGAGTGGTTGATCGAACATATACACCTGCAGAACAATGGTTCAGCTTTGGTTTATTATTGGTAGTAAGCCGTGTTATTGGGGTTATCTACTGGCAAATGAGTTCTGATGCTCAAGCAGGCCTCTCAGAGATTGTTACCGCAGCAGTAAATCCTACCCTACTTTGATTCTTATCATCACCGTTTTACCATCGTTCCTATACACCCTATCAATTATCTATTTCATCACAAGTTTAATCCTTCGATAAATTCATATGTTCGGTTTCAATTCTTATCCACTTTTTTCGTTAAGGAAAACTTAGGTTTATTAGTTAAGAGCTGAAATCTAACAACTAAGTATGTGTCAAAAC